CGTGACCGCGAGGACGTCCCAGCCCTCGATGTCCGCGTCAAAGGCTGCGGCCGAGGCAAAGGCGAAGGCGAGGTCCGTCACGGCCGCCGTGTCCCAGGCGCCGATGTCCTGGTTGAAGTTCGCCGCGCCCTCGAACGCGGACCGGAGCGTCGTCGCGGCCGCCGTGTCCCACGCGCCGATGTCGTCGTCGAAGAAGAACTTGTGCCGGAAGAGGCCCGACAGGTCCGTGATCTGGGACACGTCCCACGTGGCGATGTCCGGGTACAGGTCCCGCGTCCCGAAGCCGTCGGTCCACTCGTCGACGGCCGTCGCGAGGTCCGCTTTGGAGCGGAAGGGGCCGCACGCGCGGTTCCCCACGCCGCAGTTGCGCTTCGCGCAGGCGTTCTGCCCGCCCACGCTGTCCCGCGAGCACCAGCCCAGGTCCCGGTCGAAGGAGACCGCCAGGGAGAAGGCGTTCTCCAGGTCCTCGACGGCGGCGACGTCCCAGGACGCGAGGTCGCGGTCAAACTGCAGCGCAACGGCGAACGCGTCGCGCAGGGACGCGACGCGCGACGTGTCCCAGGCCCCGACGTCCCGGTCGAAGGCGACGGCGCCGTGGAAGATGGACGCGAGGGTCCGCGCGGCCGCCGTATCCCACGCGCCGACGTCGCGATTGAACGCCGCCGCGCCGGAGAACGCCGACGCCGCGCTCGCGACGCGCGCCGTGTCCCAGGCGCCGATGTCCTGGTCGAAGCTTCGCGCGCCCCGGAACGCCGAGGTGAGGTCCGTCACCGCGGACGTGTCCCAGGCGCCGAGGCTCCCGTTGAACGCGGAAGCGCCGTCGAAGACGTTCGCGAGGTCCGCGACGCGCGACGTGTCCCAGGCGCCGACGGGTCTATCGAAGGCCGCGGCGCCGGCGAAGGCGTTCCAGAGGTCCGCGACCCGGGACGTGTCCCAGGCGCCGACGTCCGCGTCGAAGGCGGCCGCGCCCTCGAACGCGGACCGGAGCGTCGTCGCCGCCGACGTGTCCCAGGCGCCGACGTCGTCGGCGAAGGCCCGCTTGCCCTGGAAGAGCGCCGACAGGTCCTCGACGGCCGACGTGTCCCAGGCGCCGATGGGCGCGTAGAGACCGCGCGCGCCGTCGTCGCCCGTCCACTCGTCGACGGCGACGACGAGATCGGCCCGCGACGCGAAGGGCGCGCAGCCCCGCGACCGCACGCCGCAGTTGCGGGCCGCGCAGCCGTGGTGCTCCCCGAGGTCCGCGGGGTCCGCGGCCGCGGGGACGCACCAGCCGAGGTCCCGGTCGAAGCGCGGCGCGACGTGGAAGACGCGGTCGAGGCTCGCGACCTTCGCCACGTCCCAGGCCCCCAGGTCCGCGTCGAACGCCAGCGCGACGGCGAAGGCGAGGTCGAGGCTCGTCACGGCCGACGTGTCCCAGGCGCCGATGTCCGCGTCGAAGGCCCGCGCGTTGCTGAACGTCGCCGTCAGCGTCGTCACGCTCGACGTGTCCCAGGCGCCCACGTCCCCGCGGAAGGACCGCGCGTCGAGGAACATCTCCGACATGTCGGCGACGGCGGCCGTGTCCCAGGCGCCGATGTCCGCGTCGAAGGAGACACGGCCCTGGAAGAGCTCCGACATGTCCGCGACCCGGGCCGTGTCCCACGTCGCGATGGGCCCGTGCTCCGCCGACGCGCCGGCTTCGTCCTCGATCCAGAAGGACACCGCGGCCTCGAGCTCGGCTTTGCTCTCGAAGGCGCCGCGCAAGGCGGACGGCGCGCCTGTGGGCGTGCCCGTGGGAGCGGCCGGCGCGCCTGTGGGCGTGCCCGTGGGAGCGGACGGCGCGCCTGTGGGCGTGCCCGTGGGAGCGGCCGTCGCCCCGACCGTCGGCGCGGGGGACGGCGGCGGCGGGCCGAGCCCGTCGCCGGGACCGTCGGGCGGGAAGTCGAGGCCGTCGCCGCCCGGGCCGTCGGGCGGGGAGTCGAGGCCGTCGCCGCCCGGGCCGTCGGGCGCGGAGCCGGGCGTGGACAGGCCCTGGGCGACGACGCGGGGGAGCGCGGCGAGGGCGGCGGCGACCTTCAGAACCTACGAAATGCCGACGATCTTGCGCGGCGAACATCTCTCGTTCGTTCGCGTCGATCGCGTGCGAAGAACGTTTCTCGATTTTCGCCGTCAGAATCGATCCACGGCGCGCGAAATTCGGCGCAGGGACGCGCAGGTATCATGTGTACAAGAGGGCGATCAGATTGCGAGGGTTGTTTGCGTTATCGCAGCTGGGTCGCGATGCTTCGGCTAGAAATGTTGAGAATCTCGCCGAGAGAGCGTCCGTCGTGAGAGCGTCGCTCAAGCGAGCTCAGATATCTGCAAGTTGAAGTTCGCGCCCTCCGCGAGCGCGCGACGAGGCCGCACACTTGAGAGCAGCACGGCCATCGTCGCGTGCAGCACATGCTTACCATGCACGAGCACACGACGAGTCCAGCACGATCGGCAGGCGCGCGCGACGTCGTCGACCGACGTCCGCGCGTCGACGCCCGCCCGCCGCGAGACGCGCGCCGCGGACGTCGTCGACTCGAACGCCGCCCGCCGCCCCCCGAATCACGGACCGAGATTACTCCGCGTCGACGTCGATGACGTCGACGTCGATGACGCCGCCGTTGTTCGCCTTCGACGACGAGTCCATGCGCGCGCCGATGGGGTCCTCGTACTTGGACCGCACGCGCCAGCCGTCGCCGTCCTTCTCCGACGTGAGGATGAGCTCGGAGCCGCAGGCGAAGCACTGCGTGAAGCCCTGGCTCCGCATGCCCGCCGCGACCTGGCCGCAGCTCGGGCAGGGCGCCTGGACGATCGCGCGCTTGGACCACTGGTTGAAGATGAACCCCCCCGCCGTCGGCAGGATGATCGCCGCGAGGAAGAAGGTGTTGAATAAATTGAAGAAGAAGCCCGGAAAAGCGACGAGGAGCCCGAGGCCGACGACGGGCGCGAGCCCCAAGCCGCCGCCGCCGCCCGGCGGCAGCGGCGGCCGGCCGCCGGGGCCGGCCTGGAAGTTGAAGCCGCCGGCGCCGCCGAGCAGGTCGTCGAGCGGCGACTTGTTCCGCGCGAGCAGCGCGACGCGCCGCGGCCGCGCGGCGACGCCGCGCCGCAGGGCGGGCAGCTGGAGCGCGTGCGTCGACGCGACGCAGGCGAAGAAGAGGAGACAAATCGGCGCGGCGCGCGCGCGCCGCGGGCGCAGCGGGCGCATGTCCGAGGCCGTCGCTGAAGCGTTCGACTGGCGGCTGCGAGCGCTGAGCTAAGAGCAAGCCAGAGCTCGCTCCTCAGTCGAGCTCTCGGCTGCGAGCGCTGAGCTAAGAGCAAGCCACAGCTCGCTCCTCAGACTCAGTCGAGATCTCCCCGGCTCGAGGAATGTTGCCGTCACCGTCAGCATTTGCAGCCCGCCCGCACTTCCGCCCGCGCCGCGGCGCCCGGGCGACGCGCCTCCCAAAAAAAAGAAAGACACAGGGCCCGCCGTTATGGCCGCGCCCGCCTCGGCGGCGCGATGTCGCGGCTCGGCACGTCGCCGTAGCCCGCGAGCGCGATGGAGCCGTCCGCGCGGCAGTCGGCGATGGCGAAGGCCGTGGCGTGCGTGAGCGTGGCCTCGACGGTGCAGTGGGCGATGCCCGCCTCGTCGAGGGCGAAGCCGCCGCGGTGGCTGTGGCCCGCGAAGACCGCGGCGACGTTGCCGGAGTCGCGGAGCTCCGCGAGGACCTCGGGCGCGTCGAAGGCGACGTTGCGCCAGGACGCGGCCTCGTGGAACAAGGGCAGATGGGAGAAGACGGCGACGGCGTCGCCGCGGGCCCGCGCCGCCGCGAGCGCGTTTCGGAGCCACGCGCGCTGCGGACCGCCGCAGCCGCCGTTGAAGGGCACGAAGCGCATGTTTTCGCCCTCGAGGCCCGCGAAGAAGTCGCAGGGCGCGTCGCCGAGCACGTCGTTGGGGTTGTGCGCCTTGAGGAGCGCCGCCGCCGCCGCGTAGCCCTCCGTGTGCTTCGGCCGCATCGACGAGACTTCGTACGGGTTCAGCACGACGAACGTCCAGCCCGTTTCGCGGAAGGCGAAGTAGTGGCGCCCGTCGACGGCGACGGTGTGCCGCCCTCTGTTCAGCGGGCCCGCCGCGAGCGCGGCGGAGTCGAAGTTGTAGAGCTCGTGGTTGCCGACGCAGTGGTACGTCTCAACGTCGCACCCGTCGAGCGCCGCCAGCACCCTCGCGAGCGCCTCGTCGCTCCGCGGCGCCCCCTGCCACGCGAGGCCCGCGCCGTAGGTCCCGCCGTTCTGGCCGTCGATGATGTCGCCGAGCTGCGCGACGAAGCGCAGCGAGCCGCGCTCGTCGCGCGCCGCCGCGAACGCCGCCGCGGCGCGCGCGGCGCCGCCGAGGGACCCGCGGTAGTAGCGGAACTCCGTGCCGCCGAAGTTCATGCCGTCGTCGATGTCGCAGTACTGCACGTCGGCGATGAGCCCGAAGCGCAGCACGGACCGCGGCTCACCCTCGCAGCGCGGGGCCTCGCCGCCGAGGCCGCCCGACGAGTAGTGCGCCACGCACAGCGACAGCGCGCCGACGCTCGCGCGGCCGCCGACGGCGCGCGCCAGCGTCGGCCCGAAGAAGATCATCGTGTGCGCAGCAGGGACGGCGCGCGCGCCGGCCCCGCCTCGAGGCGCAATAATCGAGGACTGCAAGAATGACTTCATCATCGTCGCAGCCCGATGATGGTAGCACGATGAAGGGTGCGATGGCGCGCCGCCTCCCGTGGATCCTAGTGTGCCTGTGGTGCGCGTCGTCGTCGCCGGCGCCGCGCGGGACGCTCGACGAGGTCCTGCTCGTCGTCACCGTGGCGCTGGCCGAGCGGCTGCACCTGACGCGCCGCTACGAGCGCCACTTCGGCGGCGTCGCGTACCTCGTCTTCCACGGCGGCGTGCCGCGGACGCTGACCCGGGCCGAGTGCGAGCGGCGGCGCGTGGGCTGCCTCTTCGCGGACCGCGGCGGGCGGGACGCGCGCATGGCCGCCTACGCGCAGCTCGCCGCGGCGCTCGCGAAGAGGCAGCCCGGCCTGGCTGACCCGGCCTGGCTGCGCCTCGCGTGGCGCCGCCCCGTTTCGCCCCGCGGCGCCGCGGTCGCGCACATGGACTTTTGGCTCCAGCCAAATTTCTTCGCGGCGGCGCTCGCGAGCGGCGCGCTCGACGCCGACGCGTTCTGCAGGGCAGCAAAAGAGAGCGAAATTCCCAACTTCAAAGGCTCCGACCTCGGCCGTTTTCCACTCGTTTCGGCTGATTTTTGGACGAGCGATCATCTCTCGGAACGGTCTCGAAGCGTGGATGCTTTTTTTCCGGAACGCAAGCGCGCGGAACACTCACGCTGAAGCGACGTTGAATCACCCTTTTGCTGCCCAGGCGCCCTGGCTCCTCGCCGCGGGGCTCAACCGCCCGCCGGGCCCGCCGCCCGACGACCGCTTCCGCGTCTTCGCGCGGTCCTGCCTCCGGGGCGCCGCGCTCGACGGCGACGCCGAGTGGACCTGGGGCCACAACGTCCGGGCCGTCGCGGCCAGGGCAGGACAAGAGAGCGAAATTCCCAACTTCAAAGGCTCCTTTCTCGGCCGTTTTCCACTCGTTTCGGCTGATTTTTGGACGAGCGATCATCTCTCGGAACGGTCTCGAAGCGTGAATGCTTTTCCCGGAACTCGCGCGCGCGGAACACTCACGTTGAAGCGACGTTGAATCTCTCTTGTCCTGCCCAGGTCGCGGCGCGTGCTGTCCGCGCGGAGACGAACGATTCCGCGGCGCCCCGCGCGCGACTCACATCTTCCATTCGACTGCAATGGGAGCGTATTTGAAGGTTGTGACACGTCCGCTGTGCCTCGAGCACTCGACGAGAGCCATCGATTCGTCCAAACACCAGCCGAATCGACGTCGATGTGACCGAGCGAGAGATTTTGGCCCCGACGTCCCGGCTCACCGGTTGAGTTCCACGCAGGCGGCGCGCTCGCCGGAGGTCTGCGCGGCGTGGGTCGACTTCTTCTACGCGCCCGCGGCGGCCTGGCCCGAGCTCGCGCGCCTCGCCGCGGGGCCCTTCCGGGACACGCACCACGAGGTCGGCGTACCGACGGCTTTGCGCCTCGTCGCGCGCGGCTCCCCGCGCCTCGCGCCGCGCTGGCTCGACTGCTGGGGCTGCGCGCAGGGCTGGGCCCGCGACCCGCGCGTCGTCGCGGCCCACGGCTGCGGCCACCGCCTCGACCTCGCCCTCGAGCCCGTGCGCCACGCCTACCAGGCGCTCCTCGACGACCAGCGGCCCGCGAAGGCCGACGCCGCGCTCGAGGCCGCGATCGCCGCGCTCGACGCGGACCTCGGCGGCTGGGACGGGACCGCGCGCTACTGGCTCGACACGCGCAAGGACCAGTGGACGTCGGGCTGCTGCGAGCTGCCGGGCCCGGCGCAGACCGCGTGCGCGTGCGCGGCGCGCGACCCGCCGGCCGAGCGCCGCGCGCGAACCAACCGCCGGTTCGGGACACTTCCAAACGCTCGTCGAATCCGCGCCGCTTCGGCCGATGTCTGGACGAGCCGTGCGCTCTCGTCGCGGAGCTCAGACGCGCACGTTTTGATTTGAGTTCCGCGCAGGCCGAGACGCCGCCGGGCCTCGCGGACCCGCCGAACTGCGACCGGCCGGACGTCGTGCGGTCGGCGATGGCCGGGGCGGGCGGCTAATTTTCCTGTGGCAATGTTATGTCGTGTTTTATGTCTGTCCTCGCCGTCATCCCCTTGACAGGACCTTGTGTCACCCTACTGGCAATTTCACCTCGGCGGGCCTCGCCAAATCCTCAGAATCTTTTGCCGGTGCGCAATTGGTGCCCACTCGTGCAATCGCCGTGGGAGTTTCGAGCGACGGTATCGGGGCCCGTGGTCGTGCATGGCTAATGATATGCAGCTCGACGGCCCCCCGTCCCCCGAGGCCCGGGCCCCCGCGAGCCCCCCGAGCCCCCCCGGCGGCGACGACGTCGCCGGCGAGTTTTTGAGCGACGAGGTCGTGCGGACCCGCCTCGCGTCCATGACGGCCGCCGAGGGCGACTACGCCGTCGTCCCCCACGACTACATGACCACGGTGCAGCGCCACGGCATGACGGCCGACTGGCGGACGAAGATCTACACATGGTACGGGCAGCTCACCGAGTCCTTCGCTTTGAGCGAGACGTGTTGGGAGTGCGCGCTCAACTTCCTCGACCGCTACCTCTGCGCGACGCCGCGTCCACGCTTCGACTCGAACGCGCGCGTTCGAAAAATTCATCATCTCGCGCGCGCGCGCGCCGCGGAGCGCGCGACGAGAGGCGTCGAGCGTTTCGAAAGCCGCGCGTACGAAACGTCGAGACTCACGCGTCGAGCGTTTCGAGGTTCGGTCGCGACGCGCCGAACCGGCGGACCGCGTCTACGCAGGCGTCAAGTCCTGCACGGGCGTCAACTTCCAGCTGCTGAGCGTGGCCTGCCTCTTCCTCGCGACCAAGGTCGAGGAGCCGCGGCCGATCACGACGGCGGACTTCGTCGCGCTGTCCGAGGGCGTCTTCGCCGCGGAGGACGTGCGCCTCATGGAGCTCGACCTGCTCTGCACGCTCGAGTGGAAGATCCACCCGCCGACCGTCGCGGCCTTCTGCGAGCTCCTCGCGGCGCTCGTCGACGGCCGAGCCGCGGCGCCCGCGACGCGCGCGGCGATCGCGGCGACGGCGCGCGGCCTCGGCCGGCGCGCGCTCGCGGACCCGGCCTTCCTCGCCTACCCGCCGTCCATGGTCGCCGTCAACGCGACGATCTGCGCGATGAAGCAGCACGGCCTCGGCCCATCGGACGTCGACGCGTGGATGGCGCGCGTCCGGCGCTGCGCGCTCTCCTACGCGGCGCGCGGCGACGCGGCGCGGCGCGTCGTCGACTGCGGCGCGCGGCTCTTCCGCCTCGCCTGCCCCGACGCCGACGCCGACGCCGAGGTCGCGGCGTCGACGCGGCGCACGCCCAAGGCGCGCGGCGCCGGCGACGACCGGCGATCGCCCGACGACGTCACCGCGGACGTCGCCGCCGAGCGCGGCGAGGCCATGCGCGACGACGACGCCGCCGCGGCGTGAGGCGACCGACGGCGACGGCGCGGCGGCCGCGCCCGCGGCGGCGGGCGCCGGCGGCGTCCGAGGTATATACTAAGAAGCTGAGCAACGCAACCGCGGGACGCGGCGAAGACGACGACCCTGGGGCTGCGCGACCTAAGTTCGCTGGTCGACATGCGGGCGGTCGCGCCGAGAGGCCCATCTCCCCATCTCTCCGCATACGTCGAGGCTACGTCGCCGAGAGGCGTCGGCCGCTGCCGGAGGTATGGCGGCCGGAGTATTTCGGAGGGTAAATACCGGTATGGTAAAATACCGGTATATACCGGTATATACCCGGGCCCGTTTTCCCATACCGGGTATTTCGGTTTTGGGCATCCATATCCCGTAGACGGGTACGGCGCGGCTGCAGGGGCTCGGCCGCGACGAGTCGCGCCACGCCGCGCGCGACGCGCGCGCGCGCGCGCGTGCTCGAATTCGCCCCACTCGGAGCCACGCGCCTGAAAGCCGGCGCACGCGACGCGCCGCCCTTTCTAATCAGCGGAAAGGCGCCTGTGCGTGCCGCATTGGGACCGGCACGGCGCGCGGTGGCTCTGGGAGACCGTAGAGGGGTCGGAGTACTCCATAAATACCGGTATATACCGGGTATTTACCATACCGACGGTATATACCGGTATATACCCGTCCCGCTTTGCCCATACCGGGTATTCCGGCCGCCATAGCCGGAGGAGGCGTCGGAGGAGGCTCGAGGTAGGTCGAGGTGTCGGCGACTCGCGGGTCGTCCTCCCCGCCGCCCTCCCGCATTTGAGCAGGACCAACAGCCACGCTCAAGTCAATACGAGCCTCTTCGCCACGAGCATACGCGCCACCCCCACGAACGATGACCTACACTGACGAGGCACTCGCCGCGAAAAAGTTGGAGTACGAGAGACGCAAGGCCCGGGCGAAGAACGCCAAACTCCGCACGACCTGCACGATCTGCGGCGCCAACAAGGCCAAAGCTTGCCAAGGTTGCGGCACGACGGCCTACTGTTCGACGGAGTGCCAACGCATCGATTGGCGCGAGCGAGGGCATCGTGAGGCGTGCAAAAAGATTCGAGCCGAGCGGGCCGCGGAGGCCGCGCGCGCGGAGGCGGAGGCGGCGCGGGCGGACGCCCCGTCGTCGCCGCCGCCGTCGCCGCCGCCGCCCGTGTTCTACGGCCCCGCGCCCCGGTCGCGCGCCGACGAGGTCCGCGCGCGCATCGCCGCCGAACACGAGGCCGCCCGCGCGCGGCGCGAGGCGGAGCCGGAGCCGGAGCCGACGTCGGGGCGGTTCGGGTCCGCGTGCCCGATCTGCTACGAGGACTGGGACGTGAACGATCTGGTCAAGGGGCGCACGTTGATGTCCTGTTGCTGCCGGATGATCTGCAATTCTTGCGTGAAGCGGTTTCAAAATGCTCCGTGTCCTCTCTGTCGAGCGCCTTGCCCGACAGGCGATGCGGTGACGCTAGCTCGAATTCGTCGTCACGTGGATGATGATGTGCCGGAAGCGCTAGCTTATTTGGCAAGGTGCTACCGCGACGGTGAAATGGGCATAATCAAATCGGGGAAGAAGGCCGCGAAATTGTTCAAGCGAGCCGTGGAGCTCGGCGACGTGAGCGCGATGACTGATCTTGCCAATTTCCATGCCGACGGGGATGGCGTTAATGGCGTCAAGCTCGATCAAAAGAAGGCGAAGCAGCTGTGGCGTATGGCCGCAGACCGCGGTGACGCGCTGGCGCAAATGAACCTCGGCGTCACTCTCCTTGAGGAAGCTAGTCGTACCGCGGAGCTGGGGATTCAGAGAGAAGGATACGCATCAGCAGTGGCGAAAGGAGAGGAGGACGCCGGTGTGGGTTTCCTCAAGCTGAGCGCCGAACAGAATCATACCGCGTCGATGCTGAGTCTGGGCGACTTCTACTGCCGTGGATCAAGTCCAGGGGGGGGACACCGCTCCTTGGTCGAAGGTATGCGATGGTATCGACGCGCGGCTTCAAATGGGTCCACCGATGCCAGGGCTCGGATCTTCAGTGAGATTGTGGCCCGAATCTTCGCTTTTTCTGCAAGGACGCTTCTCACCTCGCTCGCCGTCTCCCTTACTCTCTACTTCCATGACTCCTCATTCCCGTCTTTCTACCCCTTCTTCTGTCTTTCTGCCGCTTTATCGTGCTACTCCTGGTTCCGGCACTATCATAAACCAGTCGGTGTTTTACTCGTCGACTTCATCGTCCTCGCGCTTACGCTGCGCTACCTCCTCCCGGAGGCGGTCCGTTTCAACGGCGCGGTCCTCGCCATCTACGCTCAACAGTGTCTCTCCTCTTCGATCTTCTCGAACCACACATTTCCAATCATCGAGCCGCTTGCCGCAACACTCTTCTTGCGCTACACCACAGACGCCGAGCTCGCTCCGTCAATCTACGCGCTCTTCTCAGCTTGTTACGCGATGAGCTTCTACAAATCGAACCGGAAACGTATTCAAGAAGCCGCATTTCCCTGGTTTCAAGGCCGCATCCGGGGCTTGCTCAGTGATTTTCTCGCCTTCGCAATCGTTCGGCCCTTGATCGCGCCATCCTATTCTGCTGTCCGATACACCGTCACCGTCATCGCGCTGCAGGTGATTGGGTCCATCTTCATGTTACCTGCGCCGGGGCCCGTGGATGCGCACGACGACTAAAAGCGAACATGCGTTAGGTCATAGAGGGGAGCACCGCCCCGAGCACTAGATTCCATTACACGTAGGCCGAGCTCCGGTGGAGCGGCCCCCGTGCCGGCGGCTTCCGCGCGGGCCGGAGCCCCGGCTGCTCGGGCCGCGGCGGCTCCGGCGGCGGCCGCCCCCGGCGCGCGTCGTCGAACGCGGCCCGGAGCGCCGCGGCGACGCGCGCCTTGGCCGGCGCGTCGAGGTCGCCGCAGGCGACGCCCAGCGCGACGACGTCCGCGGGCGCGTCGCCGGCGCCGGCGGCCGCGGCCGCGGCCGCGGCGACCCACGCGCGCGCGGCGCCCTCCGTCGGGAAGAGGAGCACGAGCGCGTCGAGGTCGCCGTCGTCGCGGAGCCAGCGCTCGCCGGCGTAGTCCGCGCGCGCGCCCGGCGCGAAGCGGACGCGGACGGCGTCGAGCGCGCCCGCGCGGGCCTCGAAGCGCGCGGCGCGCCGGAGCTCGTCGGGCCGGAGCGCCGCGGGCAGGCGCTCCGTCGCGCCGCGCCGCGCGTCGTCGGCGAGGAGCGTCGCGTCGGCGCCCGCGAGCGCGGCGACGCGCGCGAGGCGCCGCGCGTCGCCGGCGCCGCCGGCGTCGTACGCGAAGAGCGCGCCGGCGCGGAGCTCGACGTCGTAGCGCCGGCCCGCGCCCGGGAGCGCCGGCGGGTCGCCGAGCCGCGCGCCGGACGCGGGCGGCGGGTTGCCGAGCCAGCGCACGTCCGCTTCCGCGAGCTCCGGCGGCGCGGCGAGGCGGCACGCGGCGCGCGCGGCCGCGGCGCCGAGCGGCCGCGCGAGGCGCTGCGCGAGCCGCGCCTCGAGGGCCACGGCGGCGTCGCCGATGGCGAGGCGCCGCCCGCCGTCGCCGTCGGCGGGCCCGTCGCGGACGAGCACGCGGACGTCGTCGCCGCCGCCGCCGTCGGCGACGCCCACAACGTCGTCGAGGCGCGCCTCCCAGACGGCGTCGCAGCGCCGCTCGAGGCCCGCGACGGCGTCCTCGACGTAGGCGACGAGCACGTCGCCCTCGTCGTCGGAGCCGTCGCGCGCGCCGCAGACGCGGCGGTCGCTCCGCGCGGCGCCGTCGCCCGCGACGGGCGCCGCCGCGCCGGCCGCCGCGGTCCACGCGGTCGCCGACGCGCCGTCGCCGTCGCCGCACGCGACGCTGACGTGGAAGAGGAGGCGCAGCCCCGCGCGGACGTCGCCGTCCGGTCGGCGGTGCGGCCGCGCGACCCTCAGGCACTGCTGCGCGAACGCCGCGCCCTCGTCGAGCGGCGTCACGGCGCCGCGGGGCCCCAAAGGCCGCGCGAAGGACAGGCGCGCCCAGGGCGAGTGGGGCTCGAGGTCCAGCGCGCGCCGCACCCAGCCGCCGGCGCCGCCGCGCAAACCGCCGCGCGGCGGCGCCGCGCGCGACCGCGCGGCCGCGGCCGCGGCCGCGCCGTCCGTCGCGACGGCCTCCTGGAACGTGTCGTGGACGACCTTGCCGGCGACGCGGACGCCCTCGACGCCCCGGTTCGCGAGGTCCAAAAGCCCCACGGCGGGCTTGACGGCGACGCCGAGCAGGCCGCGCGCCGTCGCGCGCGCGATCGCCGCGGCGTCGCCGCCGGACGACGCCGCGCGGTACGGCTCGACCACCACCCCCGTCAATCCATCGAAAATGCCCGCGCCGAGCTCGGACGCGCCGCGGTAGACCTCGCGCGCGACGGCCTCGGAGCCGCCCTTGCGGCCCTTCTTCGCGTTCTGCTCCGCGGCGCGCGAGATCGCGCGTTTCGCGACGTAGTTCGAGTCCATGGACCTGGGCAGCACAAGAGTGATTCAACGTCGCTTCAACGTGAGTGTTCCGCGCGCGCGCGTTACGAAAAACACATCCACGCTTCGAGACCGTTCCGAGAGATGATCGCTCGTCCAAAAATCAGCCGAAACGAGTGGAAAACGGCCGAGATCGGAGCCTTTGAAGTTGGGAATTTCGCTCTCTTGTGCTGCCCTGCCATGGACAGCGCGGCGACCGTCGCGCCCACGCCCGCCGTCAGCGAGCTCACGGCGCCCAGGGACCCGTCGTAGACGCCGCCGATGAGCGCCCCCGTGCCCCGGGCGACGCCCGACGCTAAGCCGAGCGCGGAGCCCGTCGCCGCGCCCTCGACGGGCCGCCACAAGAAGTCGCCGAGCCCGCCGCCGACGGCCCGCGCGACGTGGAGCGGCGTCTTGGTGACGAGGTCCAGGGACCCGCAGACCCGGTGGACCTGGCGCAGGAGGTTGAGCGCGTAGTGGCGCGCGACGCGGCGCCCGAGCGACTCCGCGGTGGCCGCGTACGCGTCGTCGATGAGCAGCGCGTCGACGCCGAGCGCCGTCGCGTCGAGCTGGCCCACGGCGGCGGCGGCGGCGTCGACCTGGGACGTGCCCCCGAAGGCGCGGGCCACCTCGGCGCGGCCCGTCGACGTCAGGCCGCCCTTGAGCGTGAGCCGCACGTCGAGCGCGTGGAGCCGCACCGCCTGCGCGGAACTCGAATCTTCAACCCGACTTCAATGGGCGCGTGATCGGACCAACCTCTTCGGCCGTGCTTCGAGAACTCAACGAGAGCCATCGATTCGTCCAAAAATCAGCCGAATCGACGTCGATGGGACCGAGCGAGAGCATTTCAAAGTTCGGTCGGGACGTCCCGAACCGGCGGTCGATTTCCACGCGGCGCGCCGCGGAGCAGTAGACGGACGCGCGGCCCGCGCCCGCGAGGAGCGCGTCGCTCTCGCGCCGCCGCCGCTCCGCGAGGGGCGCTACCGGCGCCGCCGCGGCGCGCCGGCGGCGCACGCGCCGCGGGCCCGCGGGCCCGCGCGCGACGTCGTCGTGGCAGCCGACGAGCGTCGCCGCGAGCTCGTGGTCCGCGTAGACGTCGACGGGGCGGCACCGCACGACGAAGCGCTCGAGGTAGAGGACGGCGTGCTGCGGTGCGTTTCCGCCGCCGCCGGCGTCGGTGCGCCGGACGACGCGCGCGACGACCGCGGGCTCGCCGGACTCGCCGCCGGCCGCGCGCCGCGGCCGCAGCGCCGCGGCGTAGAGCGGCGCGACGCTCAACAGGTTGTCGACCTGGACGTGGGCAACTCTCAAATCCAGGGTCACCGTGCCCTCCGCCGCACTGCTCGCCCAGCGGAGGCCGACGTCGCGGACGTGCAGCCGCGCGACCTCGCGCGTCGGCCGCCGCGGCGCCGCGGGCGCGGCGCCGCGGCGCGCGGGCGCCGCGGGCGGCCGCTCGCCCGAGCGCACGAGGGAGAGGGACGCCGCGGCGAGGTTCAACGCGAACGCGCGGTCGCCGCCCGCGGCCTCCGCCGCGCGGCCCCGGCCGCGGTCGCGCGTCCGCGCGCTCACGCCCTCCTCGGAGATCTCGAGCACCTTCGTGGGCCCGTCCGCGCGCACGACGCAGACCACGCGCGACGAGCTCGCGACGTCGTCGAGCGTCAGCCGCGCGTCGACGCGGCCCGCGCCGTCGACGGCGTCGCGGAGGTCCGCGACCCAGCGCCGCGCGGCGGCCGCGTCCTTCGCCTTGAGCGACGCGAGCACGCCGTCTTTCGGCGACGCGACGCAGACGTAGGGCGACGTCGCCCGCGCCGCGTCCGCGTCCCGGTCCGCGAGCGCGTAGCCCGCGGTGCTGAAGCCGCCGCCCGCATCGGGCACGAGGAACTCCTCGGCGACGAGCCGCGTCACGAGCGGCAGCCTGGGAAAAGAGAGATTCAAGTTCGCTTCAACGTGAGTATTCCGCGCGCGCGCGTTCCGGAAAAAGCATCCACGCGTCGAGGCCGTTCCGAGAGATGATCGCTCGTCCAAGAATCAGCCGAAACGAG